TTTTAACCGTCGCGGAATCAACTTAAAATCGCTTGTACGTGTAACCGCGGCGCGGGTGGATAAAAACATTAAGTGCTTATACAAGAACATACAAAAGAAGTCGAAGAAATTCTAATGTACATATAAAATTACATATGCAAAGTTCAAAGTGATCCTCAACTAAAAAAGTGCGTAAATGAACAAACAAAAAAATATAATAAAATTTACTAAGACACAAAAAAATTTACTGTAATTGTTTAACATAAGAGCATTGATGTTCAAAGTGAATGTAGTGTGTAAATTAAAGTATAATAACGTAGTAGTTGAACAAAGAATCAAAAATAAATGCTGAATAAAGCAATGTGGTGTGATAAAATTAATCTTAAAAACAACCTACCGCAAAAGCAGTGAACCAAGAGATGTGATGAAATCAAAAAAAAACACTAACTTAAAATTCACAACAAACGCCGTGTACTTAATATAAAAAAAAAAACAATTTAGCAAAAAAAAACAAAAGAGTGATACCTTAATATATATACCTAACCCCAGGTGTGGAAGTGACTGGACGCTCAATGCGCTGGTGATGCCGGATTTATTAGCGTTCGGGGATGTAGCGCCGATACTGGTGATGGATTGGTGAGTTGGCTTAGTGCGGTAATGTGTTGTAATGAAGTGTGTTGGTATGATGTGGTGACTGGATATTCTCCGATGTGTAATCTTGCCCCCCTTTGATTGGGATTCGGGCACTTTGGCTGGATGATTTGGCTGTTGTTACCGGTGTATTTGTGTGTGTGTGTGTGCTAAACTTCCAAGTAGTAATTTTGGACGCTGGTGTTGCAGTGTGGACCTGTGTGTTTGGCCTCGTAGTGGGAATTATGGCCGTCCGCTCGAGTGTGGCTGGGTGTAGTCCTTCTCGTAGAGGCTTTGTCGCCGGTCACTGACGCGGGAGTATATTTCGCCGACGGGGCACTTAGCGTTACTTTATATATTGTTAGCGCGACCCGGGTTTGGCAAAAATTTAGCACTTTCACATAGAAATGTCTGTTTTTCTTTTGTAACTTAAAATTTTAAACTGTGATTAATTGGTTTTTTTTTTTTTTTTTTTTTGACGAGTAAAGGTCTCCGCGTTAGAGCAACTCCGGCTTTCAATATTGACTTGTTCAAACGAATCTCGCTTCAGGCTTCTGCTGGCTATTTAAACATTTTTCTCAGCCTTTGTTTTGTTACGGTGATTCTTCAGTTATCCTTTTGTTTACGCTCACACACATCCACACGCGCACAGTTCAACCAATAGCAAGATCGCTCCAGCCAAATCACGACATCCAACATGTTGTATTGCACCCGCTATTTTGACTTTGGACTTAACATACGGTTATGAGTGGAAAGTTTTATTTTGTTTACATCGAAGTTCCTTTGTTGTCAATAGAATTTCACCGTAGCTCTGAAAGGGTGATTCGAAAAGAGTGCCTTTTTCTTGTTTTGCTTAGAATATATATATATATATAAACACATGTTCATACATATACATATATAAATGCTTTTACCGGTATATATGTAAATATATATGTATTCATATTCGATCGGCTGTCGTTACAGGCTCGCATCCGTCGATGTTGCCTGCAACATGGAGCGTGTGCGTAAAAGGAATTCTAACACAGCCTATTCAGTATATTTTAATGTTTGTTGGTTGCCCAATGTGTGGCCTCGACCCACGTCTAAACGCCGGGCCATTGTAGCCTCGCTATCTTTTCCAGTGTTCTTATAACCTGGTTTCCCGCTATTGAATACCTGCCTATTCACTTTTGCCACAGTATAACCTATTTTATCATTAGTATGTAATGCAAATATTTCAATCAAGTAAATATTCTATACTTGGTAATTAACTATGTACATATACTTATTACAATCACAGGTAACAAACGAATTTTAGGTAAGTATATACCTATTAATGGGAATCAATGGTCAAGTCAACGGGCGAACGGGTAGACGAACACAAGACTATTTGACACATTTCATGGTTTATTACACACAACAACAAAAAACGAACAAACACACTCACGCCACAAAGAGGTCTTTAGCGTGGTATATGCCT